AACTTACACAAAGTATTCCATTAATAATCAGACTTAATCACCTTATCAGCATGACAAAAACTTACCTATCAGTTTTATATCACATTTCACCATCAATTAATCTATTATTAACAGATCATAAGTTTACTATATTACTATATAGTATTACTATATTATTAACAGATCGTAAGTACCACTTCCTTTGATCCTGAAGGAGGAGATAACCCAATTTTATCTCATATCTATTCTGATTCTTCAGTTACCTGAAGTATATATTCTTATTTTACCTGGATTTGGGATAATTTCACATATTGTTGTATATTACTCAGGAAAACAAAGGCTTTTGGATATGTAGGGATAGTATGAGTCATGTTATATTGGAGAATCAGAAGTTACTAAAGGATTTTCAACTGCACAGGAGGTCAGTGCCCTTGACCCCGACATCGTTCAAGGGTCAACTATACTTGCAACACTGGTATTACACGTGGTACTTTGGCGAGAACAGTACACTCAAGTACCACACACAAGTTAAGCAATAAAAGCAATATGTAGACATTTTATTCAGTAGTATTAATTTCTGAGAACCTCTCCCTTTCCTGATGGGCCCTTTCTGTTCTGTTTCATTTACATCTAGCTCAGAATCCTTGATTTTCCTCCTGTTGGGGCCCATTCCTGCCTTTAGATTTGGTGGCTCATTTTGGCTTTGTTATCTTGATCTTTACTGATTTATACAGAGTTTGACTTGATTCTCTTTACTTCTTGACACATTAGGTAGGAACTCTTCCTTCGTTCTGACCTTTGTGACTGCAATCCCTTTTAGGCTAGGTGCTAGCCATATGTCACCTTGGTTTCCTCCTCAGGGTAATTCTGATAATTTACCATCTATGAGATGCACTTTTCTGTGTATGTGAAGTGTCAAACATTCATTTATTCAAGAAAAAAAATTTTTTTCTACATTTGATCTTCAACAAACACTCTGACTCAGATCTAAATGTATCTAGAAACATAAATTTTTCTTTGCTCTTCTGTTTATTCACACGTTTAAATAAGAATACTCAGTGTTAGAAATCAATGATGTCTCATGAAGTAAAATTTCGTTTTTGGGTGTAAAACTCTTTTGAAGGAAATTTATATAACTGTGGGACTGGTTAGTTAAGGAGTTGCTTGACTTAGATTTGTCAGTATTTTGTTGGACTTTTAAACTTTCATTTTACATCATTCTTGGTCATTATTGTACCTCACTGGGATTTATGATCTCTGTATGTGAGCAGATGAATAAACAGATGGAAATGATAACTAAATGGTAGCCCTGGAGAATGGGTGTAGTTCTCAGACAAGCCTCCACTCACTGATGGTTAATTCTGGCTTTCCTGAGTTCTGAGGTGGGCGGGAATGTGGTGAGCACTTACTAGAGGGGGGATCCATCAGGGTGGGCAAATTGAATTTGCAAGAGGCATGTTCACTTGGAAATTCTCTTCCCTAGAAAATTCCTTAAAAACAGAACTATCTGTTCATACTTTGAAGCTTTTTAATAAGACCACTTCACAGAAGACCCGCAATACCTTGAACAATGATTCGCTAGAATAATGTTTCTCCAAAGAAGGGGCAGGCCTGTGGCCAAATCTGGCCCCACTTGTTTTTGTATGACTTGCAAGCCAAGACAAGCTTTTACATTTTCAAACAGTTGGGGGGAAAAATCAAAAGAAGACTAATATTTCATAACATGTGAAAATTACATGAAACTCAACCTTCAGAGTCTACACATAAGTTTTATTAGAACACATCTGGGGTGCCTGGATGGCTCAGTCACTTAAACTTCCAACTCTTCATATCAGCTCAGGTCATGATCTCATGGTTCATGAGTTTGAGCTCCTCTGCCCTGACAGGGGCTCTGCGCGGACAGTAAAGAGCCTGCTAGGGATTCTCTCTCTCGCTCTCCCTCTGTCCCACCCCCCGCCTCTTTCTCTCTCTCTCAAAAATAAATAAACATTAAAAACACACATACAAACACACACACATCCTTGCCCATTGATTTACATATTGTCTATGGCTATTTTCAGCTACAATGGCAGAATTAAGTAATTCCAACAGAGACTGACTATATGGTTCACAAAGCTAAAACATCTGCTATCTGGCCCCTCGCAGATAAAGTTTGTCAGCCCCAACTCTAGACCTTATGTGAGGAAAGCAGGCACTGAATCCCCCTGGGTACATACAAAATGAACATCTCTATGCAGTTAAGGAGACTGAACAAGTCAGGAAATAGAGAAAAGACGGTGAGCTGGTAGTCTCAGTGCTTAACTTGAACATTCCTTCAGGAAATCTCGGTTGTCAATCCTCTTCACTGAAGCACTCACATTCAAACCGCCACCTGGAAACCTGAAACTGTGGGTTAGAACAGCCGTCAAAGCTAGTGCATTGGGAATGGAGCCAGGAATTAAGAGTAAACTGGGGACATACCCAATATGCGTCCCTCCATGGAGTGCCATACCCTGCGCTAAATTGCTCTAACAAATATTCTCTCTAGCTGGCCCTGTTCCAGAGAACAGGAAGGAAACAGCATTAAAGGTTTGGAAAAGAGGGGGCAATGAAGCAAGAAAAGCTAGGATGAGGTGCCCAGGAGAGACAGGGGGCAATAAACGTGTCCTCCACCGACAGAATATACACTCCTGCGAAGGGCAGAGAGGGGAAGAGTGGCCTTTTTCACCTCCTGGAGAAAGAAAACAACATCAGAGGCCAAGGTGGAATTGGGTGTGTCCCGCCCTTCCTTAGATGAATAAGGCTACAGGAACGTTCCTGAGAAAGCGATCCACAGTCTTTTCTTGCACTATAGTTTATGTGGCATGAAAACTGAAAAGAGCTGTATGAGAAATGAGATAAAACCACGCGGTCCGAACTGTAGCCCTAAAAAATTTAGTGAACCCCATGATTTAAAAAAAAAAAAACTTACCAACAATCCACATTTACCATTTAGTAATTGCTAACTACATGCCACATATGTGTATATGTACAAATATATATACATCTATAAATATATATATATACATAAATATACTGTAATCCTTGCAACAACTGAGCAATACAGATGGTAGTAGTGAAGTATCCCTATTTCATTAATGAAGAAACCAAGAATTAGAGGGGTTAAATGACTTGCTCAAAGCCAAACAGCTGTAAGAGACAGAATGAAGATCTGAAGTCTCTCCGTCCAGTTAACCACGTTTACTTTACAGATGAGCACTGCTACCATCTTCAAAAGACATAAAAAAGCAGCTCCTCAAAAAATTAGATATATGCCAGTTTCTGCTAAGTATCACCTGCTCAATTAAGGGATTACCTGGGTAGAATAATTGAGGCGTCATAATTTTAGTTGATATAAGAAAATGCTCGATGGGGAACCAATTTTTAGCAATTTCACTGTATTTCATGAGTGGGAGTTAGCTTGCTTGGTCCTAGCCAATATAATTTTACCTGGTAGTAATGGATCAATTTATTAAACTTGATCTTTTCCAGGATGGCACACTGTCCCAGAATCAAAGAAATACAAGTTTGTGAAATCCAAGCCTTTGACCACAAAGGTCAAAAGAGAGAACGGGAGGAAGGAGCAGAGAACACCCATTTTCACTGCTGGGATATCTCAATTAAGCAGCTAGGTTTCTACAGTGTTAGGGGGCGCTACTATGAGATAACCCCCCCCCCACTAAAATTAGGACCGAGTAAAATAAAGTAAACACAATCAAATAGAGCAGAAAACTGCGGTCACCTGGGAAAAAGTGTCTGACTCCCAGCAGAGTATCCAGGAGTGTAAGCGGTGGATTATATTTACCTTGACTAAAGGGAAAGCAGGTGCCAGGTGGCCAGGAGACTGGGCAGAGCCCAGCCCACCCAGGGAATTGATAAGAGGGCCATTAAGTGAGTTCCTCTTTAAAAGCAGTTCCTCCCCCCAAATAAAAAAAAAATTAAATAAATAAAAGCAGTTCCTCCCATTTGCCAATAGCTTCCATGGAGTGCTAGTTCAGGGAAAACATTTTTCCTTCCAAACTGCCCAAACACCTGGGACAGGACTGAAACATAGAGGAGAAGGGAAGATAAAGAAAAAGGTAGAAAAGGGGAAAAGGAAGATACTATAATGGGCAGAGAGGGAGGTGGGAGGGATGGGTAAATGGAGAAGGGAATCTATAGTTCATACCAAATGTGGCCAGAATGAGAATGACATCTAATTTGTGTAGATCTTTTTTTCCTAAGAATTAAGAATCATGATTCTTGTCATCCAAGTCTATGTCACTGCATATCTATGTGATTTTGTCTAAAAAGAAAAAAAAAATAGAAGTAATAGTAAGACCTAAAGATAGTGTCAGAATCAGGAAAAGATTAGGAAATCTAATTTTTAAAAAAGAGAATGGAGGTTTGGGGTGGCAGTTAATGGAAGGAAGTTGTTGTTAGATAAGAGACCAGACTTTTTTTTTTAATTGAGAAGGTGAAGAACATCGTAGGGGGGAATGAGGTGACTGCCTGGCATACTAAAATATAAATATGCCCTGACTTTCTTCCTCATTCAGTCTTATGTCAAAGTAGAAAGAAATTAATGTGTGTGTGTGTGCACATACACATACATATTTGTTTCTTCATTCATATATAAATACATGTTTGTGGGTATTGGTGTGTGCATATGTGTTTTAGTTGTGAATCTCCTTATCTTTCTCATGTTCACTGTCTCTGGTAGAAAATCAATGACAAAAGGGCAAAAGCAAAAAGGATACATATACTACACCATCAGTCTCTTAATTTGGGGGAGTTGACTAAAAGCAAAGCGCTTCTTTTTTTGGAACAAAACATTGTCTTTAAAAATCGGAGAGAAATGCAAAATGTAGTTAGATTACTTAAAAAGGTTCTGATCTATTTTTTTTAATATTGCTTTCTTAGTGCAAAACAAAGGTTCTTATGAGGCCAAAGAGTGATTTAAAAAAAAAGTTTTCAGCAATACTGTTGCTAGAAATGTTCCCTGGGTCTTTGCATAGGCAACCATGGGAAAGAGAGTGGCCATCATTGGAGCTGGTGTCAGTGGCTTGGCCACCATCAGAAGCTGTCTGGAAGAAGGACTGGAGCCCACCTGCTTTGAGAAGAGTGAAGATATTGGGGGCTTGTGGAAATTCTCGGTGAGTGGGACATCACTGCAGCAGACCAGGAAGTGGGGTGGGAAGTGTGTGACAACACAATTCTGGAGCACAGGCCTCCAAACCAACTGCCCCGCAGTTAGAATCCCTCTTAGGTTGGAATCTACAAAACACAGCATCAGAAGCAGGTTGAAAAGTTTCTTGCTTACTTCAGAAGTAAATGAGATAATGGGCTAGCTTTGAAGATCTCTGTGTACAGAATTGACCCCTGATAAACCATTAATAACTGAGCCACTCAGAAATAAAATCTGAGGGCAAATATTGGTTAGATTTATGTAATATAATCACATGAGTTCCTCACTTAAAAAACAATGACTGTTCCCATTCTTTTGTTGAGGTTACCAAAGGTACACTTAGTGATTCAGACCACAGATTTTCAGGTTTCAAGTGCCAACTCTGGCTTTGCCAAAACTCTGGCTTGGTTCTAGGAGAACCAAGAAGAGGATACACTGATTTGAAGTTCTTCAATATCCTTTTGTCTCTGTGCATTCATAATAAGGACTCTGCCAGCAGACATGTCTCTATGCAGCCATTAAATCACTTTCTGTGTCACCTAGCAACCATAACAGCAGGTGTGAGGGCCTTCCTGTGCCCCAGCTCCTTCACTGTCTCCAACTTAGGAACACTCACTAAGCCTACTCCATCTATCTTCTCCTTCTTCTCCTTCTTCTCCTTCTCCTTCTCCTCCTCCTCCTCCTTCTTCTTCTTCTCCTCCTTCTCCTTTTTCTTCCCTTCCTCCTCCTCCTCCTCCTCTTTCTCCTCCTCTTCCTCCTCCTCCTCCTTCTTCTTCTTCTTCTTCTTCTTCCTCTTCTTCCTCCTCTTCTTCTTCTTCTTGTTCTTCATCTTCTTCTTCTAATAAACCATTCATATATGCAAATTTAAGAAGAGCAATAACCCTTTTTAAGCTACTATTTTCTCCTCAAGTGCAAAATTGGTATTATATTTTATACCTCAATAAAAAAGTTTGCATTTAAGGAGACAGTGTCTATGACAACTCTTTAAATATTATAAGGATATGAAAATTATTCTTATTAATACAGATATTTTCTGGGCTGTAAAGAATTATTGAAACTGCTTAATCTTGTATAACGTTGTGGCGCCTAATATATGTTGATGAAATGTGCTGACAGGGCTTCAGATTAGCATACCGTTGACTCTTAGGGCTATTTTATTGAGGACTCTCTATATGCCAAATGCTTTTTCCCATTTAATTCAATCTTTGCAATAACGCTATAAGGTAGGTATGAGTTTTTCCCTTTTATAAATGAATCTGAAGCTTAAAAAAAGGAAAGAAAAGAAAGGAAATGGCAAATGGCTGGTAAATGGCAAAGACAAGATCCTGATTCAAACTGGCTGTCTCTCCAGCCTGAGTGCTTAACCCCTCGGTAAACTGCGTGGCACAATTGCAGCATGTGGCCTATTGAGCTGGCAGGATTTCTACAGGAATCTTAACCAATCCTTGTATTCCAACTTACTTTGCAAAACATCGCTAAAGATAGACACTGATGATACAGCCTTTGAGAGCAGCCACATCTCTTGCTGCTCAAGAAAGCCTTTAAAATTTTATCCTGCCATCATAGAATGATAAACTACTCAGCTGCAAACATATGTTTCTCTTCAAGAAAAAGATGAAAATAACATTTAAAAAATTTAAAAAAAAAAGGGGGGGGCACCTGGGTGGCTCAGTCGGTTAAGCATCCGACTTCGGCTCAGGTCATGATCTCACGGTTTGTGGGTTCAAGCCCCGCATCTGGCTCTGTGCTGACAGCTCAAAGCCTGGAACCTATTTCAGATTCTGTGTGTCCCTCTCTCTCTGCCACTCCCCTACTCACGCTCTGTCTCCCTCTGTCTCAAAAATAAATAAACATTAAAAGAAATTTTTTTTAAAAAAGAAAAAGATGAAAACCCCAGAGGGTGACACTGCAGGCCCAGAGGTTGGAATCTTGACACATAGAGGGTTATTCCCAGGTCTTGAAACCCAATAACATTGACCCTACTGGACTTTATAATTGGACCTGGTAACTCCTTTCCTCCTCCCATTCTCTCCTTTTTGGAATGGGAACATCTATAACTGGTACCCAATGCCTGTTTCACTGCTGTACGTTAGTAGAAGAGAACTTGTTTTCTAGTTCACAGGTCCACAGAGGGAAAGGCATTTTGCAGATGGATCATACCCGGAGTCTCATCCATATCTGATTGAGATAATTTAGATGATGCGATTTGGGACTTTTGAGCTGATGATATATAGATAAGATTCAGGACTTGATTTAGTGCTGCAATGGATTGAGACTTTGGGGTGATGAGATGGGGTGAATGAATTTTGCATGTGGGATATATATGAATCTTTATGGGCCAGTGGACTGTGGTAGGCTGAACAAGTGAACAATGGTGCCCCCAAAGACACCAGATCCTAATCCCTGGAACTTGCAAATGTCCCTAATAAGGAAAACTAAGGTATGATTAAGTTAAGAATCTTGAGATGGTGATATTATTCTGGATTATCTGGGTGAGCTGAAAATGCCATAACATATATGCTGATAAGGGAGAAGCAGAGGAGATTTGACACCCAGAGACAGAAGGGAAAAGGTAATGTGATCACCTTGGCAGAAAGAGAGCTTTCAAGATGTTATGCTGTGACTTCCGCCTTCAAGATGGAGGAAGGGGCCATTAGCCAAGGAATTCAGGTGGCCTCTAGGTCCTGAAAAGGCCAAGGAAGGCTGGCATCTACCAGAAGCTGGAAGGGGCAAGGAATGAGTCCTCCCCTAGAGCCCCTGGAATGAACACAGCCCTATGGACACCTTGATTTCAGCCCAGTGATACTGATTTCTGACTCCTGGCCTCTAGAATTGTGAGAGAATAGATTCCTGCTATTGTAAGCCATTGAGTTTGTGGTAATTTATAACAGTACACAGGAAACTAATACATTGGTTATTCAGAGTTCCCTAATTAACCTCTGTGAGAGGGCCCACATTGCAGATGACAGCATCGCTTACCATGTTTCTCAAATACCACTAAAAGCCTTACAGCTGTATGCCTTGAACTCATATTATGGAATTATATCATAAAGTCATTTTAATTTTGTATTTTCATTACCTTTAGTTTCTAAAGCCAGCATTATATATTCTCTCAGCATTTTGTCTTCCTTTGAGAGGTATCCAAACATTTGTTAAGTGTGAAAAAATCATGGTACAGATCAGTCAAACTTTTGTAGCTGTTTCCTGGATCACTTCCCTAGGTCCTTCTAAAGCCAGAGTAATGTCTTTCCCTCACCTTTTTTGATCACTGAGAGAATTAAGTACTTTAGGACTAGGCCACAGGTCTAGGGGAAATCTCTTTCTGTCTCAGGAGATACCCAAACAATACATCAGTAAATTGTCTGGATTTGGACCTGAGGTTTCATGAATAAAGGCTCTTTTTTTCTGGTCACACAACCCTTTGTTCACTTCCCCTGAATTTATTCTACTCTGGATCATTTTTTTTTTTTTAATGTTTAGTCTCTCCTTGTGTTGAGACTACCCAGCTTTCTAACCTCACCAAAAGCTACAAATCACAAAATTACTAGACAAAAATCAATCATTTTTATATATTTTAGAGTTAGCAAACTGGCTGCTTTTATACTGCAGCTGATCTATTTTATTTTAGCTATACAGTTTTTAAGATTTTAATCTAATATTTTACATAAAAATCTAGAAATCTGTCTTCTTTTGAAAAAATCAGAAAATCAGGCAACACTGAATCTTCCCTGACTCATAGTAATAACTGGCCTCTTTTAGCCTAAATTTAAATTCTCTGTTTCACCATATTCATTTTTGCCCATTTCACTCATCTCTTGTAACTTCCTCTACACCTGTAAAATTTGTCATGGCTTGATGCTATGTACAAACAGCAATCCTTTAAATTATGTGGAACAAAAGTCACCCCCATTTACAAAATTTTTCATCTCCTTCTTCATATAGTTTCATGATCCTTTTTGTTTAAGCAAACCTTCATGTGTATACTGTTATAATGGAAACATTGGTCATTGCTGAGCCACTTAGTGGATTCTGATCACATTTTCTTTCTTGAACACTTTTTGTTTTCACTGGAGTTAATAATCACCTGTATCCCTTGTTTAATTTTACAAATACGGTCTCTAATTCATCACCCACGCTCTCCCACAGAATTATGATTCTCCTTCCCGTATGTTTAAACGAGTCTATCAGCTTAATTCTTCTCTCAACTATCAAGGATAGTTCTTCTGGCCATCTTCTTTCCCTCATCAAGGCCACCTTGCCATTACCTGGGCAACCCTGTTTCCCTTGTTGTGCTACTATTTAATTTATTCTCTCCTTTTAGTAGAGTACATCCTCCAGTAGTTCTCTGAGAAGTCATACATGTGAAATAAAAGACTACCTTGAATGTCTTATAATATCATTATTGGAACCTGGGTTCCCATTTGATTTGACCAAGGCTTAGCTTTTGGCTTTGTTAGGTTTCTTAAGTCAGTTGTCATCATTCATCTATGTTGTATCTTCCAAGATGTGATTGCTGGGTTTTGTTTGTTCTTAATTTTCT